TTGCCGAATGCTGTTTGTCCAATGCTGTGTGAATTGAACAATTATATTGAAGAGTGCATGTTTCGACTATATTCTGAAACTGTCCCGAAGAAACCTTCCAAAAAGCTGCTTGTGGCTTGACTGATTTCAAAGCCACGATGAGGTGAGTGACCACAGGAAGAAACATCGGAGCAAACCTCTCTCCCTCGTGTTGTTGACCTTGTGATTGAGGTGGCATAGGCAGTCTTGAGTTTCTCTTCTCCAGGCACCAACGACTTCATACACTACTAGATCAAGAGGGTGGAATCTTTGGCCTGGGTGGAGTGTCAGATACTACAGTCCCCAGCTAAGTGCTTGATGATGAGTGCTGCGATATGTTCCTGCAATGCATGCTGGTCGTTGAGCATGTATTTAAAAACACATGCTGCATTCTTTGCAATATTTTGCAATATAACACCTTTCAGCACTCTGGAGTGCTTGTCTCCCAAGCTGGTCGCGGTTCTTCCTCGTTTCTGTTTATTAAAAATAGGAACCCCTATTTTTCCGGGAATGTTTTTCAGGTTTTTTCCCGGGAATTATTTTCGCGTTTTTTTTTCCCCTACTGCTTCTGCTTTTTGTTTTTGCTTTTCCTTATGCTTTTGCTTCTGCTTTTTGTTTTTGCGTTTCCTTATGCTTTTGCTTTTTGCTTCTGCTTTTGCTTCTGCTTTTTGTTTTTGCTTTTCCTTATGCTTTTGCTTCTGCTTTTGCTTTTTGCTTCTGCTTTTGCTTTTGCTTCTGCTTTTGCTTTTTGCTTTTCCTTCTGCATTTGCTTTTGCTTTTTGCTTTTGCTTTTTGCTTTTCCTTATGCTTTTGCTTTTTGCTTCTGCTTTTGCTTTTGCTTCTGCTTTTGCTTCTGCTGACTATCTTCTTTGCATTGACACTGCCACAAAGTTGGATGATAAGACCTTCACCTTGAGCTTTGACACCCAATTACACCAATCAAGAAACGAAGCAGCCCAGCGCTGTCTATATTTGAGTTGCATTGCGGGGAAGGCGCTGCGCCCTCCCCCGCACTCCCTCCCGCATTCTTTTTAATAGTTGCCACTACCGTCCACCACCCCTACTATTTCCAATACCTCTATCACTCGGACCACCCCGCTACGAGTCTTACCACAGTTACCGCAACTACTATTTTCTTTGCGTTGACGCTGCCAAAAAGGTGGATTTCTACTTTGCTTAGCCCAAAGAAACCCGAAACCACTGAAGCCCAAAGACAACCGCAGAAAGTCCCTATTATAGTTCCTCTCTCCTCCTACTTCTCCTCCGTTAAGTGGATGCCTTTTCCGGAAGAACGCCTAAAGAATCCCTAAAGACAAGAAACCGAGCCCAAAGAAACCAGAAACCAGTGAAGCTAAAGACAACCGCAAAGAAGTCCCTAGTAAGTGGAATACCTTTTCTGTTCCCTCCCTTTGTCACTGTCACGCTGGCTTTGGTGCTTCGTCCCCTGCCCTTTCTGCTACCCCCCGCAGAAGCAAAAGCAAAAACAGTAGGTTAAAAAAATGAAAAAAAACGGAAAAAAACAATCCTTAAAAAAATATATATATATATATACACACATGCCAGTCAGAGGCATCCCAGCGTGCCTTGATTTCAGGTGAGTCTCGTGTGGCACTTCCAGGGCCTCTCATGCTCTGTGTCACCTGTTCTCGCACAAGCTGCTCAGGCAAGGGGTGCTTCTGTGAGTGAAAGATTGGTTGGAGCAGAAGTATACTGTACTTGATCTGGATACTGGTTAGGAGTGCAGCCCTTATGAAACTGGTTCCTGCAAGCGCTTCACATGCAACATGCAGAAGAAGCACGACTCATTGTGAGGCGTTGCCCAGCGGAATGAGGAAGCGTGGCTCTGTCATTGCAGACCAGTTTCCCATTCAGGCAGTCGTGCCTGCTGGGTTGTTTGGCGTTTTTCAGACAGAGCTGCTGGCCCTTTTAACGCCGGGTTGACATGGGTCGACGAGAGAAGTGGCAAGATGCCCCGAGATGGGTAGTGATGTACAGACCATCGCAGACCCAGGTTGAAGTACTAATATACTGGCTAGTTGAGCGTCATTGATCGGAATTGTTGTGTTTAAGCACCTTCCGGTACTTGCTGGAAGCATTCCTTTGTCCCTACTCAATGCGTGTCTGGTTTTTTGACTAACCTTCGGACTGGACAGGGAGCTGAATAAATTCCTTTTACCTTTTGGTGTCTTCCTCCCGGGCAAAAACGAATGTACAGACTTCTTCAACACTGCAACGTGCCGAGTTTTGCTGTCTTCATTGCAGGATTCTCACGAGTGGCTTGCAGTCGAAGTTCGAAAGCACTGGGCTGCCAGAGCCTTTGGGAGTGTGGAGGCGGTGGGAGGCAAAGCCTCAACAAACCACGCTGAACAGACAGCTGGCTCCTGCCAAGTCTAGCTCAGGTGCAGGATGTTTAGTGATGATATCCAATCAGATAATCTCAACATGTGCCATGCTACGTTTGTTTGTCTCGTATGTTCTGATTCTCCCGACCGTGGATGCATGCATCTCCGTGCATTCAAGCTTCGAAGCTCCTTTGACCTTGCAAGCGCAGAGGCCATGTCTAGTGCCCCCGCTCCAAAGTTGAAAGCAAAGGCTTCGACGAAGCCGGGCGCCGCAGTTTCCAGGCTAGGGCATGCCACAGTGGCACCACATGAACAATTACAGTATAATACAGTATATAGATATCTACCTAATAGACTAATAGATATCAGAATTTAAGCTGATCTTATTGCTCCATCTAGATGATAAACACAATATACAAAATACATAAACATATCGATATATAATATATATATATATTTTTGTTCGTGTGTACATGCAAGTAGGTACGCAAGAATATGTCGCATCGATCCTTCTGTATAGATGCGTAAAAAAACCTGCTACTTGGGCCGAGTCGTGAGCTCCAAGGCGCAACCGGAGTTCCTCCCGAGCTTCCCTCTTCATGTCAGAGCTCGAACTCCAGAGCTGGCAAAGCTGAAAAAGATCGTTCAGAGATAGCTCAAGCATGCTCAAGCCACTCAAAACGTTGCTGTATGCTCTTGCCAGCGTATGCCCACTTAAAGGTTCAAAGAAACGAGTTCTTAAGAGACAAATGCTTGCCATTTTTTCTGCATAGTTTGACGACATCAGCAAACAGCCCTGCATTTACTGTAGCATAGCCTGTTCAGCGATTCTGAAGCCCTGGAGCATTCAGTTTCCTGAACGCTTTGAATGTGGAATGAATGCTTCTGTACTGTTGCTGGCTTCTATGACTCAAGCTTTAGAGGGCTGCAGATTCTTACTCATCAGATTAGGTGTGCGCGCCTCTCTTCAAACTGTTCATGTTTTTGGAACAGTAGCTGGGAGCAATGTCGTTTGTCAATAGTTCATTCAGCGATCAAAAATGGTTGTGGAGATATACTGATATACTGTTGCTTTGATTGCTATTGATGTCAGGCATTCCGGAATGGATTAGCCCAGTGGTGGAAACTCTCGCAAATAGCCTGGTGGCTGCCTGCAAGAGTTGCAATACGCTAGAGTAAGCAAAGGGACTGCACGAATGGACATGTTCAAAATAAAGACAGATTTGCCTTTGGCCGGATTCCTTTGGATCCAATCTGCGGGATGGCAACTATACGGCCTCGTCCACGTGCTCCCGGACCACTTGGAACCGGGCGAGAACGTATCAATCGCCAGGAGCAACGACTGCTTGATGAAAGCAACAACACAGCAGAGAGCATGGCATGACGCATCAAGCCTTGTGAAGGGCAATAATTTCTTCCAGCATGCAACATGCACCTATGCCCAATTGTTCATGCTACAAGTTGCCTTGTACTTCCAGGAGCCCATTGTTCGGCGTGGGCGTCTGAATCTGGCTCGCGGCACTTCACTGCCCACGCGGAGCCTTTCCGCACCTCGAGGCAAGCACATCCTGTGGTGGGTTTGGTGTGGTGGACTGATGCCTCCCGGAGGTTTCTTCCAAGCACATGAAGGAGTTTCACACATTCAGGAAATTGTAGAACTGACTGAGCCTTTGAGCTTCACAATCGATTTTGAGATTCATTTGATGTTCTGAAATGGAATTTGGGTGAAACTGATGCCATTCTTGCACTCTTTCGTGCAATGGCAGCAGGGGTTACGCCTGTGCGCTTCACAGCACCCGGCATCCAGCGCGGCACCTCGCGGCGCAATCTTTCCGTCGGGCCGCAGCGGCAGCGCAGGCGCTCTACTTATTGTGGCATGTTTACCCCCTTGAAGACTAACATGGGCCCTGAAAATCAATGGTCAGTAGAGAAATAGCATTTTCCAGGGGCCCATTGTCAGGGTCCATGTTAGTTTCCGGGAGGGTATGTATAGTATATATATATATATGCAAATCACCTGTATGAAAACCTGTGTTTTCCCTGTGTTTCTCTCCTGCAACGTTTAGACTCTAGACTTTGAACTTTGGACCTTTTTTGATGCCTCATTTCTTTGTGTATGTGCTCCATGAATACAACAACAACTGCTATGCCTGGCTCTATAGGGGCTGGAACCACGCACCGCAAGAGCCTTCTGAGGACGGATGTCGTGGAAGTTGTACATCTTGATAATGCACACACAACAATATATGTATAATATATACTGTGTATATTATATATATATGTATTCAGCAATCTTGATATTGCTATTTGATTTAGCAAACATTTGCAAACCGTTCGGATGACATCTGGGATGATCCATGTTAGTGCGGGTACCAAGACCTAGGCGACTGCATTCGAGATCAGTAGTGTGCAGGACTGGTGTTTCGCATATTATTTGGCGAATGGCCTGAATGTCAAGGATTTACACCAGAGGTGGCTACAGAGCCTGCGAAAACCAGATCCAAACCGCGAAGAGTGCACAGCACCATGACATGATTAAGGCTATTCTGTTTTTGAGCCAGGCATATGTTGGTTGCTTTTCGGTGGATCATGCTTCACACAGCTCATGCTGCTCAGGTGATTCGTTTCAATGATGATGTGATGTTGCTGAAGGTTGACGAGAAAGATTGCTTTGTTTTTTCCTTCGGATGTTTGGTATGCTGGGGATGCACGCCACAAGAGGTCAATGCTGCTCGCGCGTATGTTGAGAACCACCTGGCAAGACCATTGGAGTCTCCTAAGATTGAAGTGGACTTCTTGAGCATTAGAGGTATCGCTGGAGACCTGCCCATTGCTGCGAAGGCCTGGGAAGAAGTACCGTAATATAGACTGTGCTGTGATAGTGCTGGTGGCGAATTTGTGGAGTACGGAGCCACTTGCAAATCTTGTATCATAAGTAGTGGCAGCGGCAGTAGCACTAGTAGAAGCACCAGTTTGAGACTGTAGGAAAAGGAGGAGTAGCATCACAACTCGAAGTTGCGATAGAACTTGGTTGGATACTACCAATTGGCTACACATGACATAGACTTGAGAACTAAAGCCAGGAATAAGAACATGGAAGAACCATGAAGAACCTTGAAGAACCCTTGTTCGTGGAGCAGTGGCCCCTCCGTGCTTGGTGTGTTGGAGCATGTCACCATCCTCCGACCACGCACCAGGCAGTCGATCGTTTAGCGATTGCATACTCGCTGGCGCAATCCGTGCGACTCAGCTACTGGGAACAAAGGATTGACCTTTGGGTGGCGGCCACCAGGACCATTCCGGAGGACATGGCCCACACAGGTGCGGCAAGCTGTTTTTCGGACCAAAGATAACCAAAGCATGTTTTCAAGACTCAATGCCTCAACTGCAGGTAGGGTATTGCTGAGCAGTCATCGTGTGAGCCAGATGATGGGCGAGCTCTTCGCTCTCAAGAACCAGGCGATGTTGAGGGCTGTATGTCATGCATTGCACGGAAAGTTACGTGTAGCAGTGCGAATTCTTGGTGAGTCCATTTTGATCTTTCGCTTCGCAGGTGAACTTAGAGTTTGACACCTTAGATGGCACTCCGGACGTTTTTTGGGACTATGAAGAGTCCGAGCCCCTGTATCAGCAAACGAGGCGAGTGGTGACTATAGCGCTACAACGCTCAGATGCAATCATGCGTGTTTCGTAGGCTTGCGCTGTTATGGTGTATTGAACATGGCGACTAGAATTTTGGAAATAACAGTTTGTCAAACGAGTTCATGGCATGTTTCAACATCAAGAAATGCTTGATATGACTTGCTCTTGACTCACTCTTGACCCGTTGATTTCTGTTTGGTCCTCATGTATGCACTTGCCAACGTATATAATCCCATCCACCTATTAAAAAACACGCCCCCCCACCCCCTAATAAGGAAACCTCGGTCGCATTCTTTTCTAATAGGGGGTCCCTGAAATCGGAGGGTCCAAAATAGGGTCACCTGGGAAGAGCTTCAAAACCAAAAAGTAACCCTGTAAAATGTTTATCTATATTACTATATAAAATCCTTTATAACACTCGTATCAACAATTCAAAAAACACCTCCAGATCGAAGGCGTCTTCCTTTTCCCCCAAAACAATCTTTATTGGAATAGTGATTCATTAGACTAACAACTAAAGCTTTCGACAGGTGATGTCGCTGTGCCATCCGGTTTTGCGTGACCTGGGTGGAAAGTGCGTTTGCGTGAGTCCAGCCATTGGGGGAAGGAAAGCCTGCTGCTGCAATTAAACACGGCGTGTCATGGTGGATAGACAGGGTGGACAGAGGTGGGCAGTTACGGTTGTTTTTGGAACCTAAAAAACAAAACTCCTCCAAAGTCGGCCATGTTGATAGTTTAGTAGCGGCTTGAAAGGGCGGCAACTTAAAAACAAACATAAACAGTACTTAGAGGTTTCTGACACGACATTCTTTTTTAATAGGGGTACAATTTTAAATAGGTACTCGGGATTATACATGGATATACATGAAAATCCATGTTTGCGGAGATTTGAACACCCCAGGACAGTTTGTTTTGATTGAGATGCAGGCTGGCTACCGTGATAAGGAAAGAGACCCTGAAAGTACAACTAATTATATAGAATCAGCCAAGCAAGTGTCAGAATTTGTTTGAGCAGCCGGCAGGATCCATTTAGATGTGGATCGGCGCATTGACATCGTCAACCAGCGCTTTGAGGCCAGTGTGACGCTGGTAAAGGAATGGGTGGAGGAAGTTTCAACACTGTTGAGGCTGCGTTGCTCCGCAGCTTGTAGCATGCAGATGCATGTTGTTTTCTGGAGACCTTGTCCGGCTTGCAAATGAGGTGTTAGAGGACATGTTTGACGTTCTGCAAGACAAGCTGAACGAGAGGCAAGAGCACAGGCGTGCACGAGAATGAACAGATAAAAAAAAAAGGCGCGAATGTAGCCTTTTCATTGTTGGGGGAGCAACCCACAGTTCAATGTGAGCTGGGATCAAGTGCTTGCCCGGAGAGTCGTTGCAGGCTCACATGGATCATTATTTGGCTATGTGCATTGGAGGCGGTTTTTACCGCGTTTAAAGTATTTTGGATTGCTGGCGTGCCATTTGCTCTTCAGATGGATTCTTGGCAGATCGGCGGATGGGTTCATGTTGGTGACCCAGGCGAATCTAAGGAGCTAGGCCATCAATGCTGAACCGATGCCAGATACACTCAGGAGTGTTTTGACAGAGGAATATAACCCGATATGAGTTGATATCATGGATGGTCAGAATTCAAGAATCTGCGGTCTTGGGTCCGGGTTGCTTCATGTTACTGTGACCTAGAGAAATGGCGAAGCGCAACTTATGTGCTTGGGGAGATGTAGATGATCGTAGATGAATGTATATTTAAACTTTTACAATCCCTCATATTGCCTTGGATAACCTCAGGAGCAGCGGCTTGAGAGCGAAATCTTCGGAAGCAATGCCCCAGCAGTTGGTTCCAACACTTCTCAGGCTGGCGTGTTGTTTTTCTATCACAGATGTTCCGCTCCTCCCGCCCGAAAAACCGCGCGTGCTGGGCGCCGCCGGACCTCGACAGATAGAGTGCAAAATGGAATGCCAGAAAGAATGTCCAAAACTATTCCAGATAGAATGTCAATGTATGCCAGGTAGAACGCCACAGTATCAGCCAGATAGAATGCCAGAGTAGATGCCAGATGGAAAGCCAGAAGTAAAGCTAGAATATACCCATAAATTTTGCCGTAACGTATTCCAGATAGATTGGCAGAACTTTTGCCAGATAGAATGCCAAGATTCATGACAAATAGAACGCAGGAAAGAATGCCAGAATGTATGCGAGAAAGGATGTCAGGATATGTGCAAGATAGAGTGCCAGAATATTTGCCAGAAAGAACGCCAAGATGGAATGCCGGCAGAATGTACGCCAGAAAGGATGTCAGAGTATATGCCAGAAAGAATGTAATAGATATTCTGGCTAAAATCCAAAATCTGTGCCAGATAGAAGCCAATTTGTCCCAGACAGAATCAGGAAAGAATGTCAGCAAGATGAAATATCAGAGTATATGCCAGTATATGCCAGATGGAATGCCAGATTCCGTGTCAGAATGCAAAACATGTTCAAGATAGAATGCAAGCCAATGTATGCCAGATAGAACGCCAAAGTATATAGCAGATAGAATGGCAAGATTTTTGCGAGATAGAATGCCAGAATGTATGCAAGGAAAAGTGTCAAAATATATGCCAGATAGAATGACAGATTCTTTGCAAGATAGAAGCCAAGTAGAAAGCCTATATATGCGATACAGATTGCCAGAGTACATGCCTGATAGAATGCCGGAATATATGCCAGATAGAACGCCAGAATTCATGCCCGATAGAATCATGCCAGAATGTTTGCCAGATAGCAAGCTGGAAGTGCAAGATGAACCTTTTTTGATGGCAATGTAACTGTTCATTGGGTGATGTTTTGGACAAACACAAACAGAAACATGAAATAACCTACCTAGAACGATTACACAATATTACCCGTCAGCCCATCAGCAATGCGACAGGGATCATTCACAACTTGTATTTGGGCCTCAGCAGGGTCACCGGGGGCACCGAATCTTGGAGCTGTTGTTCTTTTTTGAGTTAGGACGTGTGTTTCAAAAGTTTGGGACAATGCTACTAATACAAACCACTTTGCTTTGCAGATGGTTTTTCCAGGAGTGTGTTTGATGTTTGTGAGGGCCTATTACAGTATGAGGGGTGTGCCGATTGAATTGTAGAAGACTTAAACCAAGGCCTAGGGGCCTTCGAGTTGAGCCAGACGCGTGTTTTGCCGCGCGTGAAAAACATGTTTTGTAGAGATGTGGTCCACCAGGCCATGCCATCCAGGCCCTCAATGCAGGACATGTGAGAGTTCGATTGAATTCAATTAATTGTATATATATATAACTTACCAACTCCATTCCCCAAAGGTAAAGATTTGCACTGTCATTTGCAAATGGATTTAAGCGCTGTGTTTAAACAGATTGCCAGCTTTGCAGGAGGCGCCCAGGAGGTACTTGCTGCTGGTCCCACTTCTGGGTTCATTGGATTGGGCTGCATGTCAATTGCAGTCGCTTTTGAAGGCTTGCGTTTAGACCCTTTTCTGTTGCGTAGGCGGGCCACGAGCCCCAGGTCATCCTATTGTGTGGAGGCCGTGTAGAAAGCTTAAACATTGATTATATGCTGGCAGCTATGCCAAGCAATTGAGGATTGCGTCGAATAGATGTGTGACCTCGGCCTGAGTCAAGAAGACGAAAGATGATCTTGAATCACCAGAGAAAGAGTCGCCATGGCAGATGAGCGAGCTTGGTTTCGAGCAGATTGTTGAAAGCTGGTGAGTGCTCAGATCATGACATGGCAATGGCTGCAGCAGAAACTTGCAAGCTCAAAGAGTGAAGACTCATCCTATGTCGAGATAGGACCGATAGGATAGGATGCAAGCCGTGGAGATTACCGTAGGATAAAGGGCTGGAGGCGCAGTCATGCAGCCTGTCATTCCTTCAAGTATAGTGGTTAGGGGTCGAAGAGTCAAACAACTTCAGTTGGGTTTTCCAGAGCCTTCCAACCTGAGCCCCAGCAGAGATGAAGAATGCAGGATCGGAAGTTCAAGACTCCTGAGAGAGAGAGAGAGAGGGAGGGAGAGAGAGATCTTCAGATTGGTGAAGAAGTGTCGGATTCGTGTCGGATTTGGCTAAATTTTGGTAAGTTCCACCGCAAATGGCACTGCACATGCAAGTAGAGGCACTGGAAGCATTCAAACATACTTCTACTGGCAAACATAGAAGTGGAACATGGCCCCTGGAAAGACCGTTCTTTACCAAGAGGAGTGCTTCCTCTTCTGTGCGTCGGAGTGTGAAGACCTTAGGAGAACATCGTCATTCCAGACAGCTCGGAGTCTTGCAATGCTGTGTTCGGCTTGGAATTTGTGTTCTACTTGGATTCGGGCAATCACTCCTATCAGCTTGACGAACATTGTGGAAGTTACGCCAAATGCGCTCGCCTTGCTCAAGGTATGCATCATAGAGATCGATGCAGATGGTGCAGCCAGAATCTCAGGACCATGAGATCTAGTTGGATCGCACCGTGTAGCCGCGTAGTCTGAGGTGGGTACCGGCTTCCTCGGAGTCTTCCCGGCACCAGCATGCGTTGCGTTGTGAAACAAGACGATGGACACGGTAAAATTCAATTGATGCACATGGTTCATTTTCAATGGCATACAAACCTGGTTTCCGCCCTTGAAGTATATTTCATTTCATTCAATGTCAATGTTGCAAGTTAAGCCTCGGAAACTGGGAATCTTCAAACCTTCCGGCATCCAGACGTGCAAGATAAGGCCAATAGGACCTAAACAGAATGTCCGCGGCAGGCTCTTTTGCCGGCTCTTTTGTTCCTGGTCACTTGCCATCATGTCATACCCGACGAGGCAGGACCTTCAACTTTGGATTGATGTTTTGAGCAGTGCAACAGCTTCATTTGCTGTGAGGGGCTTTGCCAGCGTGCAAAAGCGAGCCGTTGCTTTGGCTCGTCTCAATCCTGCCAGGCTGCTTGTGCAAGTGCGATTTGCACCTTCGAGGCACGCCATACAGGTAAAGAAATGCCAAGCCCAGTCAAGAACATCTTGCGGCCACTGTTGCACATCCCTTGTTCCCAAGACAACGGAATAATAGGCATAGAAAATCCTCCAGAAAGGGAATGTTTATCGGATGGATATCGGAACATGTGGCATCCACACCAGGCAGATGCTCAGCCATCCGCTAGCATTCTTCTGGAGCCACACTTGGGCTTTTGGACCTCAAAAGTCTTGGATGCTGGGGAGCCCACGGCACCATACGGCACCTCGTTCTTCCAACTACTTATATATTGGTTTCGCTTACAGCACTTCAGACATTATGTTTCCAGCATTGATTGTTCATGTTTGTTCAATAGGTGAGAAAAGGGTGTTTGAAATGTGTTGCGAAGCGTTTTGCCGGCATTTGGTTGTTTGATGTTTGGCATAATGACAGGCTTGCAGAATCGAAGTTGGACTTCGATGCCACTGGCGGCTACATTGAAAAAGACATTGCCCCGCAGCTGCTCTCGGCTCTGACACGTCTCCAGCTGTCGGACCTCAACTTGCTTCAGCCATGGGTCGCCAGCTCATCATGCCTCACTGGTTTGTGTCACTTCTCTTCGACCTCGCTGTGTTCAGCTTTGTAATTTTGGTTTGTATCCCAGGATCCGGAGCATCCAAAGAGACCATGGAGGCATCTGAACACAGTCCATTTGATTCGTTCTATCCTGTAAGGACAGCGTATCAATTCGACAGAGCTACCATCAGCTCAGAGCTATGGTGCAAATCCTTTGTAACCATGTGATACCTATTCAATCCATATTAATCCCATTGATGCACTGCCAAAACGTCCGCCTTCGTTTGTTCGTCAAAACACGCCGCACGCAGGCATGCCGCCAGGCCAGCTTGAGCGATGTGCGAGAAGCGCTGGCCACCTTCTCGCCTGAGGATGGAATGAAACTGGGTTGACATCCTGTAAGAGGGAGACCACCAACCAATGGATGTTTGTTCATGTTTGGTCTTCCCACGAATCTTTGGGGATTCTTCGATCTCTCTAAAAAGTATCCCGCACCTAACTGCTGATGTGAGCAACCCATTAGATGCTTTCACACTGACACATGTGGGGCCGCTTTCACCAAGATACTGATGTTCCATTTTGTGACCGATGATGTTGTTTGATTTTGTGGCCTGAGAATCCGTGCAGGAGCTGGCAAAGGTGAAGAAGGCCGTTACAGCTGCTTCAGGTCGGCTTTGAAGGATAGAGCGATTTGGATGTGAAGTCCTGTTAGGCTTTTGCAACGGATTTGCATTTTATACAGTACTGCTTGTGTGAACCATCGTTTTATTGATGTGTTATTATACACTCCCGGAGAAAAAACAACATGGGACCCTGAGAATGGCTACCCTGAAAAGACTGTTTTCCTTCTTAGCTGCAGCTGCACCAGTGGGTTCGCTCCCTTTCAGCTGAGCCAGGGGCCACAAAGGCGCCAGAGGCCGAGAAGCCAGCAGAAGCAACGGCAGAGGCGGCAGCCGAAGAGGCTCCAAAAGAAGCCGCAAAGGACCAGGGACGTGGGGACAGAACCATATACAGAACTTATTGTACCTGCACCATCC